TTCAGCTTTTCCTTCTGTCTAGCGTATATTGTTGAGATCTCAGCACTGCAATGCAGATGAACTTTTTTTGCCTCAATGTTTGGTGTTTTCAGTCAGGTTCCAGTTGTTCTAGCCACTCTTATTTATTTGGATGCAACGCCTGCACGTTTTGCAATGTCAGTGACTGTACAGCCTGGAAGCGTGAGGCTCCACATTGTCAATGACGATAGATTCTGCATTATGGCATTTGCCTTCCTGATGCTAATGGTCAAACTATAATCTTTACAGCATGAGCGAGTCTATCTGTTTGTTACTGAAAGGGTTCCTCAGTATGAAATGCTAACATGGCATTCTCAGCGTACAGCAATTCCTTGTTGAGGACTTGGCATACCTTAGATCCCAGGCAAGCAAAGTTAAACAGCTTTCTGTCCGTCCTGGTATGTAATAAGATACAACTTGTAAATGACTTAAAGGCAAATGACAACAGCAAAAAGAAGGATATGTTAAAGAGTTTTAGAGGCAAAGTACAAGTCCTGAAGATCTCAAAGGGTTCTAATGTTGCCCTGTCATAGTGGGCTTGACCCATCATATTGTCATGGAAAGAGAGGATCTCATTAAGCAGCTTCAGAAAATAGCTAACTTCCTCCAGCAGCTTAAATAGACAGATCCTGCTCCTATGTTCAAATGCTTTGGTGACAATGCTCAAGGTAATTTTTAATGATCTCTTCTTCATGTTGGACTGAGACAATGATGCACCTAATGAATCTATCAAATTCAGTCCATATAAATTAGTTTTTAGGCATGAGATGAGAGAACCACTAGATGAGAGATGAAATTACTTGAAGAGAAATTGGTAAGTCAGAGTTCAGAGATGACATATTTGGACTATGTGTCAAATTTTAGAAAAGATGAAATAGGCCAGATGAGTTAGCTAGTCAACTTTTAAAAGTAGAACAGCACGTGATGAAACAGGAAGCTGATGAAATCGAGAATTTATAATTTTGCTGGTGGAGATAAAGTGTTAGTGTTACTCTCAGAGGTAGGTGAACCTTTAAAGGCAATGTTTAGTGGGCCTTATCAAATCAAAAGGAAATTGAGTGAGGTGAATTATTTGATAAGAATGCCAGATAGAAAGAAATCAGGCAGCTCACCACCACCTTTTCAAGGGCATCTAGGGATGGGCAAGAAATGCTGGCCAGCCAGCGACACCCATATTCCACAAATGAATAGAAAAAAAATCTTATAGAGTGCGTCATGTGAATATGCTCATTTTGATATGTTAGGAAAGCAGAAGTAAAATGTGTTCAGATGATTCTGAATTAACCATTCCTCAAATTAAATTGGACAATGAGAAAGATCTCAAAAATTGGGATAAATTATTGAGTTACCTTTCAGAGGATAAGTGAAATGACCTGAAGGAGTTATTACAATTACATGGGGAGATATACGGGAATAAGATGGGATGTACTAATCTGATTACACATGCTGTAGATCTAGGAAATGCTGTTCAAATTAAGCAATATCCTTACAGATATAACCCTCTAAAGTTGGCACAGGTTCAAAAAGAGAATGTGTGCATGTGAGTTGTAGCAAATGGAACTCACTCATAGCAATAGTGCCAAAACCAAATACCCAATGATTATGTATGGATTATTGCAAAGTCAATGCAGTTAGAAAATCTCATTCATTTTCTATTCCATGGAAGACTGCGTTGAGAAGGTGGGACCATCAACTTTTATTTCAAAGTTGAGGAGGTGATGGCCTACTGGTATTATCGCTTGACTGTTAATCCAGAGACCCAGACAATGTTCTGGGGACGTGGAATTGAATCTTGCCACGGCAGATGGTGGAGTTTAAATTCAATAAAAAAATGTATCTCGAATTAAGAATCTAATGATGACCATGAATCCATTGTTGATTGTCAGAAAAACCATCTGGTTCACTAATGTCCTTTAGGGAAGGAAACTGCCATCCTCACCTGGTCTGGCCGACATGTGACTCCAGACCAACAGCAATGTGGTTGACTCCTGACTGCCATCTGGGCAATTAGGGATGGGCAATAAATGCTGCCTGGTCAGTGATGCCCTCATCCCGTTAATGAATAAAAAAAAACTTACTCAGAGGATACTGGTAGATATCTTTATTCAAAAGGGCTAAGGGAATTTCAGCCTTCATGACGCCAAATTGACAGTACCAGTTTAAAGTCATGCCATTTGGGATGAAAGAAGTAGCCACATTTCCAAGACTAACCAGTAAAGTCATCTCGGGACTTCCCAAATGTGCGGTGTACAAGAACACAAGAACACAAGAACTAGGAGCAGGAGTAGGCCGTCTGGCCCTTCGAGCCTGCTCCGCCATTCAATAAGATCATGGCTAATCCTTTCGTGCACTCAGATCCACTTACCCGCGTTCTCACCGTATCCCTTAATTCCTTTATTGTTCAAAAAAAATCTACCTTTTTTTTAAAAGTGTTTACTGAAGTAGCGTCAACTACTTCACTAGGCAAGGAATTCCATAGATTAACAACCCCCTGGGTGAAGAAATTCCTTCTCAGTTCAGTCCTAAATCTGCTCCCTCTAATCTTGAGGCTATGCCCTCTTGTCCTAGCTTCACCTGCTAGTGGAAATATCCTCTCTACTTCTATCTTATCTATTCCCTTCATAATTTTATATGTTTCTATAAGATCCCCCCTCAATCTTCTGAACTCCAATGAATATAATCCCAATCTACTCAGTCTCTCCTCATAAGCCAACCCCCTGAACTCCGGAATCAACCTAGTGAACCTCCTTTGCACCCCCTCCAGTGCCAGTACATCCTTTATCAAGTAAGGAGACCAAAACTGCACACAGTACTCCAGGTGTGGCCTCACCAGCACCTTGTACAGCTGCAACATAACCTCTCTGCTTTTTATTTCAATCCCTTTAGCAATGAAGGACAAAATTCCATTTGCCTTCCTAATTACTTGTTGTACCTGCAGACCTACCTTCTGTGATTCATGCACAAGGACACCCAGGTCCCTCTGCATAGCAGCATGATGCAACTTCTTACCATTCAGGTAATAATCCTTTTTACTATTACTCCTACCAAAATGTATGACTTCACATTTATTTACATTGTATTCCATCTGCCAGACCTTTGCCCACTCACTCAATGTATCTATGTTCCTCTGCAAAGTTTCACAGGCCTCTGCACACTTTGCTTTGCCACTCATCTTAGTGTCATCTGCAAACTTTGACACCCTACACGTGGTCCCCAGCTCCTAGTCATCTATATAAATTGTAAATAATTGCGGTCCCAATACCGATCCATGAGGCACACCACTAGTCACTGACTGCCAGCTAGAATAGCACTCATTTATCCCCACTCTTTGCTTCCTGTTAGTCAACCAATCCTCTATCCATGCTAATACTTTACCCTTAATGCCATGCATTCTTATCTTATGCAGTAACCTCTTGTGCGGCACCTTGTCAAAGGCCTTTTGGAAGTCTAGGTACACCACA